TGCACCCGTGTGTTGCACGTGAACTATTTTGTTATAATCATTGACCACTTTCTTCCAAATCACCACATTTTGTAAATATTGATGCTCATTCCATGATCTGAATTTGTATTGTGCCCAATAAAAGATAAAGAAATGACAACCTAAAAAGGGACGCTTGCAAGAGACTTTATAGTTTCCCGACTAGTCCATCTTACTGTAGTCAATTTAAGAATATGAGACCAAAAAATAGGTGAAATAATTCATGAAAAATAACTCCGAATCTAGCAATCTTTGAACTTCATGAAATTTCTCTTAGACCAAAAGGGTGAAAACTACATGAAGTTGTACGGTGCATTATTAATATGTTTAGAACTACATCAGTTTTCCAATAGAAAATTTATCATGCGGCTAGAAAAATTATTTTAAGTTCTCCCAAAAGAAACACGGTTTATCGTCCATGCCAATATAAAATTAATTACACAATACAACTTATGCAAAAATCTATCACTTTTCACTCAGCTTTCAAATACCTAAGTAAAAAAAATTGTAAAACCCTTTTTGGCGAAGTCTCTAAAGTTCCCTTTTTGGCGAAGTCTCCAAATTGAAGACTTGAAAAGTAGTGAGATGATTTATTCCTATGATAGTATGTATATAACAAAATTACAATTATAAACATCATAATTTATTTTTATCACCAAAAAAATTTAGGAAACATAACTTATTGTAGAAAACTCATAAATATAGGTTCATCAGAAACTGATATCATTTGGGCAAGGTAGGAAAAGTTTTCAAAGCTACACTTTTGCCAATATATTTGTTCATGTTTTGTGGTGCTTGTTGACAAGGTAATCTAATATAAACGACAATTATGTATGTTGGATTCTCAATCTTGCTTGAGCATCTCATTTTCTTACCAAGTTCATTTTCCAACCAAGCCAAGTTTGAGCAAAAAAATAAAGCTCGTGGTCGACCTTGAGCCAAACAAGAACAATTGAACTCAATTTGCTCGGCTAGATTAACACTCTTATTTATAAACACTCGTGACACTAAAATATTAATCGTGAAGAAAACACTTGAGAAGATTCCAATGATGTTGAATTTCTTTCTAACACCAATGCCTATAAAACGCCACTAATCAAACTCGAATTAGCTAAGTGGTGGCCAGCTATATACACTTGGCCACCAATCAATCACATCACCTGCAAACAATGAATTAAAGCAAGTTTTCTAGGCAAATGAACAATCACATTACATTTTATTGTCCACTATCAACCAACAATAGTTGCACATTAAAAAGACGAAAGTGAAAGAGAAAGTCATATTGGAAGTACGGGAACTTCTTAAAAACATGAATAGTATGCAACCAAAAGCCACATCAAGTAAATATAATATTCTTCGTAACATCAATTAGATCGCCAATATGACATAAAATCCAACAAGTTCGTATAAGGGGACACAACCAAGATGTCAGAAAATAAAATTAGAAGACAAGCAATAAAAAATGTGACTATGCAAAGGTTCTATTCGAACACCACATTCCAATTGGTTCCAATAATATGATGAAAGTTATTTTGGAAGTAAATGCACAAAAAGAGAAGTTGTGTGCCTCTGTGTACTAAAATTAGCCCCAACATAGTCAATAAATCAAATTATGAGAAGGAATACATAAAATTCAGTGCGCAATCAATTAGAAACGTTAGACAAAATGGCCTACGTATCACTGCACTTGTTGTACATGATATAATACTCTCCATACGAGGGACAATTAGAGTAGCAAAGTGACGGCACTCTAGACGGCTAAGAAGCCCCCATATCGCCACGTGGAGAGATGTAGTTGTTATGGAACTTAAAGGGCGCCGAGAGGTGGCGTCAAGGAGTAATGGCTCGGAGGAGCCAAGTACACGTACTGAAACCAGCATTTAAGAAGACATGACAACTCATTATTGAATGTGTGAGTTACTGCGACAGTGCTATTAATGAGTCCCTGCATCTTCGAGACCCAAATTGACAGTCATAATTGCAAAGCATTAATGATTATGGTGCCGAGCATATCCCCTTGGCGTATCTCAGGAATACTGTTCCCCGAGCACTAAACGCTCGGGAACAAGTGTCAAGCACTGATCAGAAGACTTAAATGACCGGGGATAGGGCCAAGAGTGCTCGGCATGTCCCGAGAAGTTACCCTATCGTCCGAGTTGACCAAGCGCGAAGATCTAAGTGGAGAACACTCATTACGCATGGGTAAGAGTACAAGTCATTAAATGTTGAGATGAGACTTTAAGCCTTTGCATTCATTACTGATCCAAGTATAAATACTCCTCGTAGAGATGAAAAAAGGTACATAAAACTAAACTGAGAAAAGAGAAACATTGTGCTAATGCCTCCAAATTTATACTGACTTAAGCTTTAGAGGGAATCAAGGCAGGTCCAACACAAGAGGAAATGAAGTCGTTGCTTTAGGCCCCACTAATAAAAAGGGCCCCAAAATTTTAAAAGTCTACAAATATAACCCAAGTCAATTTTAACCCATTAAGAAAGTCTCATATGAAAGCTTACACCAACAAAAAAACTCTAGACTAATTTTGGGCCCAAAAATTTAATCTATTAATCTCACACAATAACATTTTATAAGGAAAAAAAAAAATATTTTTTAAACTGAATTTAGTAATCTTATATGGTGACATGATGGATCATAACTATAGAATTGATAGTGGGTTTCAACTAATAGTAGGGTTCACTGTCTATCTAATAACAAAAATGATAAGGTCACCAAATAAAATCACTAAATAAGGTCCATGTAATATTACATTTTTTTATCATAATCTTAAAAAACCTAATCAAACATATACTATATGAGAAATCCCTAGTTCATAGAAAAATATTTTTAAAAGAGTGTCAATAACGAGACAACATAATTTGTTAAATAATTTTTGAATTTGAAAGTTTTGGAATTTTTTATTTAATTTAAAAATTAAGTCAATTAGTTATACTATCAATAAAAAAAGATATGTTAGAAAAACTTCAATATGAATATAAAACAATTAATATGCATCCGGAAAAAAAATTAAATATTAAAAAATTTACATTATTATAAAAAAAAAAATTAAAATAATCTCAATCGAATTTATCGCTTTAGGCCTCAAAACATATCAAGCCACCTCTGGAGGGAATAAGCCGGGTGAACACCCGGCCCATTTTCTGACCTTTTGATTATTTCAAGTTCATTATCGAGAGGGTCGCTATCTCTATTCATTGCGGAAAATCTCCCGTGCACAAAGATAGTCCTTAATCTTCCCAAATGAAGACCATGAAATGGATTAAAAACAACTATGATGAAATATGAATGAGTGCAAACACCCGAACAACTTATATTGCTTAGTCACAAGAGAGAACAATTGATTGTTTCTAATGGTACAAGAGCAACCAACTTTTGGTGCTACAAACATCTTCTTTGTTATCTCCATTGACGTGGCCGCCGCCTCTACTAGTAGCTCTACTGCCACAATCTCCAGTCCCATGTTCAACTCATAGCATCGAACCGAATCCTACATCCCTTGAAATGTTGAAAATCTTTAACAAATGCCAATCACATTCAAATGGCTCACTGGAAAAAAGCAGTTCAAATTACATAATATTTGCAAGCTTTATGACTACTTTTATGTTCGCTAAGTGTTTCTAAATTGAAATTCATGCCAAATTATATAGAAATCTCATAATTCTAGAAAGAATTTGAGCAAGAGTAAAATTACAAAAATTGGTTCAGTTATAAATTGGAAAACAAAAAAAATTCATGTCGGCTTCATATCGAAGCAACTCAAAATATACAAGACATGGCCAAATTCTTGAAAATATACTAAATCAGTTGATGAGAAACCCCTAAACACATGGATCCCAAGGATCGAATTAAACTTGTTTAAAGTTGATCATACCTCTTCTTGCAATGATCATATTGCTCCATTCATGCACATAAATCCTCTAGCCAACCATTACAGTTTCTGGGCACGTGAAAGGGTTGTCATTAAAAGAATATTTCCATAATTCTTATAGTCTTAACGTAAATCAGAAACATTAGAATAATAAATATAAATATGTAAATAAATGCAATTAGAATATTTATTCTAAGAATATGTAGGGTCTAAAAAAGATAAATAAATATAATGAACTCTACAATATTTTGGAATAGAAAACTCAATAGTGACTTTATTAGACAATAAATGTCATTTCAAACCGGAGGAAGAAGCATACTAACTATCATATCATTACTTCACAGTAACATCTAAAATGTAAAATGCATTGATTTAATGAAGAAACCCAGTTGAAGAGGTAACAATATGGTCTAAAGGCCACATCACTTGTGTGAATTTTCTTTTGCCTTTGTAATTTATGTGGAATATGTGAGTGTGTAGATGTATTCAATGTATAATTATATTCAGTACGCATTAAATAAGGGTGGATAGAGAAATAATCGAGTGTTTTTAGACGTTTCAGGAGGTAAAGATAAAATTGACATTAACAAATTAATTAACTGTAAAATAGGAAAATAAATGTATTTCTGGTTAAGAGACTTTGGTCTAAAGGCTACATGAATTAATAGTATAGATATAAATTAAAACTTTTGGATTGAGCTTGAAATCTATAATCGGTTTGAGTTTAATTTCATTAATTCTAGTTAAATTCGGGTTCAACTTGAGAACCCAAAATGCCGTATTACCCAAATTTTATTTTGATTGAGATTTTTGGCCAAGCAGAACCCATAATTTGAAAATATCAACCCAAATCCTACTTTTTTCGGACCGAATTCGGGTTGGACTCGCAGTAAGTCCGGCNTAATTTTGATTGAGTTTTTTGGCCAAGCAGAACCCAAAATTTGAAAATATCAACCCAAATCCTACTTTTTTCGGACCGAATTCGGGTTGGACTCGCAGTAAGTCCGGCCAAGTTGCACCCTAACTAGCTCATTTCTAATCTTCCTTATTCTTCACTTCCTACCCAATAGCCACTGTCTCTTTGTCTCTCTCGCTATGGCTCCGAAGGGAAAAGAGAAGCCGAAGCCCTCTGCTTCACAGCCAGCAATTGCCATCGAGGATCTCTTCACCGCTCTCAATCGTCACATCGACAGGTCGGAATTCGATCAAGCCATCAAAGTCGCAGATCAAGGTCAATATCAGCATATACGTGCAGACCTAGATTTTGATGTATATGATTTGTTGTGGAATCTATTCTTGGATATCTCTAAATATATGTATTTTTATGGTTGTAGTTTTGGCCATTGCGCCTGGTGATGAGGACGCGATTCGATGTAAAATCGTTGCATTAGTTAAGGACGATAAGATTGATGAAGCTCTTTTGGCTATCAGCGCGTATTCGAGGAAGTTTCCGAATGATTTCAGCTTTTTCAAGGTAAATAAAGCTTAGAATTGCTCGGTCTATATATGCTAATCACAAAAATCACATTCAAGACAAACGCAAAGAGATGGAAACCAAATTTTAGATTGGTAATAGGTTTTTGTATGCTATTTGAATACGTGTAAAAAGAGTCGGTGCATTTGATTGAATTTGGATTGCAACAAGTAATTCATTTAGGCATGTCTGGTTATGTGGCTTTTACACAATCTAAAATCCAAATTACTTTTGATGCAGTACCTATGGTTTGGTTTTAAAAAATATACATTCACTTTGGAGGCCTAAAGCTTAAGGCTATGGATCCCACTACAAGCCAGAAGTGCTTTTGTTCCAAAAGAAAGTAACCTTTGTAGTTTGATAGACACTTTGTTGTTATGATTGAATCTGGATTTGGAGTTTTTTGCCTGGATTAATTGACGGCTTACAGGTTCTGATTTTGAAGGGTGCTTTCATGAATAAATCAATGGATGCTTTGAGTTTCCTTATGTTATTGCAATTGGCGATTTGGAATAGTTTCTTATTTTGAGTTTCATTTTCTTTAGAGGTTGAAGAAGTCTAGTGCCTATAAATACTAGGGTAATCAGTAGCCTCATTCGTCCAGTAGAGCAGATTTATAGATATGGTGTCATGTTTGTGTTGTGTTTCCTTAACCTTAGTGAAGGTTCAATATAATAAATTTATAAAATTAGTGTTATGTATGTGTAGTGTAATCTAAAAATTGCAGTGNTTATTTTGATTGAGATTTTTGGCCAAGCAGAACCCATAATTTGAAAATATCAACCCAAATCCTACTTTTTTCGGACCGAATTCGGGTTGGACTCGCAGTAAGTCCGGCCAAGTTGCACCCTAACTAGCTCATTTCTAATCTTCCTTATTCTTCACTTCCTACCCAATAGCCACTGTCTCTTTGTCTCTCTCGCTATGGCTCCGAAGGGAAAAGAGAAGCCGAAGCCCTCTGCTTCACAGCCAGCAATTGCCATCGAGGATCTCTTCACCGCTCTCAATCGTCACATCGACAGGTCGGAATTCGATCAAGCCATCAAAGTCGCAGATCAAGGTCAATATCAGCATATACGTGCAGACCTAGATTTTGATGTATATGATTTGTTGTGGAATCTATTCTTGGATATCTCTAAATATATGTATTTTTCTGGTTGTAGTTTTGGCCATTGCGCCTGGTGATGAGGACGCGATTCGATGTAAAATCGTTGCATTAGTTAAGGACGATAAGATTGATGAAGCTCTTTTGGCTATCAGCGCGTATTCGAGGAAGTTTCCGAATGATTTCAGCTTTTTCAAGGTAAATAAAGCTTAGAATTGCTCGGTCTATATATGCTAATCACAAAAATCACATTCAAGACAAACGCAAAGAGATGGAAACCAAATTTTAGATTGGTAATAGGTTTTTGTATGCTATTTGAATACGTGTAAAAAGAGTCGGTGCATTTGATTGAATTTGGATTGCAACAAGTAATTCATTTAGGCATGTCTGGTTATGTGGCTTTTACACAATCTAAAATCCAAATTACTTTTGATGCAGTACCTATGGTTTGGTTTTAAAAAATATACATTCACTTTGGAGGCCTAAAGCTTAAGGCTATGGATCCCACTACAAGCCAGAAGTGCTTTTGTTCCAAAAGAAAGTAACCTTTGTAGTTTGATAGACACTTTGTTGTTATGATTGAATCTGGATTTGGAGTTTTTTGCCTGGATTAATTGACGGCTTACAGGTTCTGATTTTGAAGGGTGCTTTCATGAATAAATCAATGGATGCTTTGAGTTTCCTTATGTAATTGCAATTGGCGATTTGGAATAGTTTCTTATTTTGAGTTTCATTTTCTTTAGAGGTTGAAGAAGTCTAGTGCCTATAAATACTAGGGTAATCAGTAGCCTCATTCGTCCAGTAGAGCAGATTTATAGATATGGTGTCATGTTTGTGTTGTGTTTCCTTAACCTTAGTGAAGGTTCAATATAATAAATTTATAAAATTAGTGTTATGTATGTGTAGTGTAATCTAAAAATTGCAGTGACAAAGAGGAAGGGGAACCTGCTACAAAGAGCAGAATTCTTGTGCTTTATCTTTTATGGAAGATACATTGCCACTCTTTGTTGTACCTGATAATCATAGGGGTTTCTAAAATTATATTGTAGGATTTAGTTTGCATTTCATGAGTTGTCCCCCAATACTAGCGGTTGGGAGGACTAGTGAAATCCCTTGTCAAGAAACCATGGCGATACACATCACATCAAATCCATGAATCAAACAAAAATTCATCTTGACTCAGATATAAATGGGGAGAGTTATTGGATCTCAAATTTGACTCAGCTGACTTGGACAAACTTGGGGCCGAATGTGGCGACATGTGATGGAATCGCACAAACCAGTCATAAACAATAACGAAGAAAAAACTAAGGAATAAAAAGAAGAAATTGAAAGAAAACTTGCAAAACAAAGCCACTGTGAAGTTTAAATGAGTTTCTCTTTCCCTCTTCTTCTACAATTCTTCACCATTTGGTGTGGTTGTGACGCCGCGATTTGTTCACTTGCTTGTTTCAGCTGTGACTTCTCTGTCTCCCCCCTCACTCTCTATTACTTGTGTTTGCACCATTGAGAACTGAGTAGTTAAAAGTTGAATATTTAACCTTATTAGTTATAATATTACATTAATATGATTGTAGGCTTCTTCTTTTGCAGTTCTTCACCATTTGGTGTCATTGTGACTCTGCAATTTGTCAACTTGCTTGTTTCAATTGTGACTTCTCTGTCTCGCCCCCTCACTCTCTAGTACTTGTGTTTTCACCATTGAGAACTGAGTAATTAAAAGTTGATTATTTAACCTTATTAGTTATAATATTACATTAATATGATTGTAGGTTGTTGAATAATGTATTGTATTTCGTTGGTATTGTTCGTTGTATAATGTGGTCGTAGTCTTTTTCTATTAATCAACTCATTAAATGATCTATCACATTAAAATGGCATTCTATGGAACTTTTCAAGACTGGTTTGAATTTTTTGGACCTTTGAACTAACATTTCTTGTTTTTTGGCTTATACTGTGCTGGGACATGGTGACTAATGTGTCTCATTGCCCTCTGAGGCGACGGCCAATATCGCGGCTTTGAAACATTTTTTTAATAAATGCCCATTTTACCCTTAGAAAGTAAACTAAAAAGAAATTAAAAATTAGAAAACAATTCAAAAACCTATAGAAATCTTTGGCTAAAACATCTCTCTCTCCTCTCCCCCCCCCCAAAAAAAAAAAAACTATCTTTTCCTTTTCACTTTCACCTATCCCCTCTTAATCCGAATCCTTAAAGTTTTCGAATCAAAACCCATAACATTTTGCATTCAGTACCAACCCACCATCAAATCACCACTCTCTGCAACACATCCCCCAGCAAACTGGATAAGGACCTACTTTTTAAATTTCTAAATGCACTCATCTTGCATCACCTGTAAGAGGACCTAATTATATTTATTTTTACAAAAGCTTTCTTTCTTATTGAGTGTAATTTGTAAGACTGTGTGCTTGAAAGCATTCTGTTGAACAATTGGGCTTGTTTTACTCACTTTGTATGTTCCTTGTCAATATGTATGAAGACCTTTGAAGAAAAATGCTGTGACATATTTATAATCATTATTTTAACTTTTTAAGAAAAATGGTTGACAACTGAAAAGGCATTTTTGATATGAAAATTTGACTAAGAAAAGAGGCAAAAAACCTACAATAAATGAAGCCTTCTAGGTTAGCAGTTAATATGATGGATATGTCTGATATAGTGATTGCCCTTTATATTTCATTGCTGGTATATGACTCCTCATTTCATTTTTTTGGCCCACTGTCCTTTTTTCGCCTGATTTACTGAATTTTAGATTATAGTTTGAGCTCTTGGAGTTCCTACTTATCTCAGATGATACCTGTAGTTCATGAGTAATTTGCTTAGTGCTTCCTAAGTTTTCTCTATTGAAAATTGTTCTCTAAGGAATTCCATCTGAAATCCTTGAGGTGGTACCATTTATGTTTGACTTTATATATTATTTCCTGAGCACACATTTGTGTTTCTCTTATTGATAGCCCTCTATTTATCTCATGTGGTATCTGAATAGGCATACTGCTTATACAGACAAAACAAGTTAAATGAAGCTTTGGAATCCTTGAAANACTTTATATATTATTTCCTGAGCACACATTTGTGTTTCTCCTATTGATATCCCTCTATTTATCTCACGTGGTATCTGAATAGGCATACTGCTTATACAGACAAAACAAGTTAAATGAAGCTTTGGAATCCTTGAAAGGCGTTGAGAGAGATTCTACTACTATGCTGTTAGAGTCTCAGATTCTATTTCGCTTGGGGAAAATGGATGATTGTGTGGACATCTATCAAAAGCTCCAGAAATCCAAGATAGACTCATTAGAGATAAATCTTGTTGCTGCTTTGGTGTCAGCAGGGAGAGCTGCTGAAGTGCAAGGAATTATGGAAGCACTCAGAGTTAAAGCAACTAGCAGCTTTGAGTTGGCATATAACACCTCTTGTTCATTGATTGAAAGGAACAAATACACAGATGCCGAGCAACTCCTACTGTCAGCTCGAAGGTAATCCACATTACCATCAGGACTTCGAATTGCATTGGCTTTAGTAATATTAAGCAACACTTGCACACTACTTACTTTCTTGAATTTGTTAAGATCATGTTATGATGAAATTATTTAGAGTAATTTCTGGCGAAGGCATGTGCGCATACTTATATTTGGATATAGTGTCCCTCTTTAAATATAAAAATTAGTACACTAACTAAGACATCATGGTTCAAAGTCACGGTATTGGCCATCAACTCGGAGGGCACTAATACATATCGGTCGCGGCGTCATGGCACGGTATCAACCGATACGCTCAAAATGCTATATAGAAAACCCAAAAAATTATGAAAACATCATTCAAAATTTTTAAAAATATAAATAACAACATGTATGCATTATATGTCCAAAAGGCATCATCTAACACATTAAAACATAGTGAAAATGATTTATAAGGGCATTGTCGGTAATACTCATAGTTATCAATGTTCAATTTAAGTACTTAAAAAACATATCAAGCCATGATAATTGCCACATTGAATAATGGTAAGATTAAGCATTATCATCATGGAATTTTAACATTTAATTAAAAATATTTTAAAAAAAAAAAACATATTGATTCATGTATGACAATATACAAAAATTTTGAAAAAAATTAGTGTGTATATATTACTGATATATTTATTATGAATTATAATTGTGTATGTGTATATTAGTTAAGTAGAATTTTGTTTATAATATATTACATTTCCAATACAACTGTACAAAAAAAAAAGATATTATATTACTATAATTGTAACCCTTTTTCTCATGTTTTAACTTGACTGTCTGTCCATTCCCCAAAAAAAAAACTTGACTCTCAAGTAAGAGTCTACAACGAGAGAGAGAGAGAACATGAGAGGCGAGAGCGACAGTTTCGATCGGGGAGGGAGAGAAAACTTTCAAGTCTTCTACTTGGTTGAAAGTTGGGCAACTACTACTTACACTAGTAACACGACAATAGAAGAAGAACAACAAGAATAAGGGCACTGTTAATCGCTCTGTCAATGTAATTGATCTACCAGGTTTTTTGTAAAAAATCCTTTCAATCCCTTTTTTTATTTTTTTATAATTGCAAAAAGGTGTGATCTAGGGTTGGATAATTGTTTCTTGGCCCTTAGTTTCTACACCTACGGGTCTCTAATTTTTTCTTTATTTATTATCTCTAATTTTTTCTTTATTTATTATCTATTCCTTTGTCATTTGGCTTGTTTAGTTATGAATCAATGGGCCTCATTCCTTTTCTTCTACATTTCTCTCTCTTTTTTTTTTTTTTTATGGATTTTGCTGNAGTTTCTACACCTACGGGTCTCTAATTTTTTCTTTATTTATTATCTCTAATTTTTTTCTTTATTTATTATCTATTCTTTTGTCATTTGACTTGTTTAGTTATGAATCAATGGGCCTCATTCCTTTTCTTCTACATTTCTCTCTCTTTTTTTTTTTTTTTATGGATTTTGCTGCTTGTTTGGGATTTCACAGATCCAGTCCCAACTCGGCTTGACTAGGTCCGACTCGATCCAAGTCTAACGATTCGACTCTGAGTTGAGCCGATATTTTCGAGTTGTAACCAAGTCAAGCCCGAGTCGATTGTGTTTCGTTATATTTGTGCAACAGGTATCGATATCGTATCGGTAGTGGCTGAGTCGTATTAAACTCGGCCAATACCTTGAACCATGTAAGGCATACTCGGGGCAGTTTTACTTTGAGGCATTCAGCGTGAAGTATTGTTTTTCTTCAATGTCTTCATATTAGACTAGTTGGGTCTGACTTGGCCTCTACCAAACCAATAACACTATGCGGTGCACCTAAAGCATGAGTCTATCTCAACTCAACATTGACTTGGATATGAATCGGTGAAACTCAGAGTTAACTCGATGTGACTCAGCGCAACTTGGGACCAATTCGGACATTCGCAATGGGATCACTGGCTAGTCACTAAGGAGCCAAAAAACAGATTAAGGGATAGTAAAAAGCCGAAACCCATGTGGAAATTGATCATATCTATGAGAACAAAACAATTACTCATAAGAAGAAGAAATATAAAGCAGGAAGAATAAAGTGAGAGCATATAGATAAAATGGATACCATCGCAGTCTCCATCTACCTCTTCCTCTTCTCCTCCTTCTCCTCATCCTCCTCCTCCTCCTCCTCCTCCTTCTTCTTCTTCTTCTTCTTCTTCTTCTTCGTGTGGTAACCAACAGAGCGATAATGGTCCACGATGTGAGCTCCAATCGCACCGAAATCAAGACATGCGGCCTTCACTCTCATCTATCTACTTCGTTCTCTTGTTGTCTTTCTTTCAATGGACCAACCCCTCTAGAAGAGTCCGAAAACTATTTTGTGAATGAGACGTCTTTGAGAGCTTTTATTTTATTTATGGGTTTTTTTTTATATCTTTTGGCTTCTAAATTCTTTACACTTATGATCGAAAAAACATCATTAACACTTAAAACATACTTTAATAACTTATTTTATATACAAAATATATCTACTGAAGTCCTTGCATATTTTTAAATGCTTTATTTCCTATTTATATAGTTATAAAAGTATCATTTATTACTTTTGGTATTTTTTAGTTTAAGATTGCACTTAACATTCATTTCCACTATGTTTAATGTGTTAAACATTTATTTTGGTCCTATAATGCATGGATTTTGTTATTTTTATTTTTTAAGAGTTTTTCATGATTTTTCTCTTGGAATTTTGGACTTTCTATCTAATTTATCATGTATATCGACCATAAATATTAAATCAAAGATTTGTATCGAGAATCAAAATTCTAGATTTAAGAATCAGGAATTGTAAGATTTTACGTAAAATTTGAACAATAATAAACAATCACATGTACATATTTAAAATATGCAAGATATTAAATATTGAACATTATTGTATTTTAAAAATAATTGATTGACTATATTGACTTGATCACGTCATATAAATGGAAAGATGCTAGTCTTTATAAATCTTTATAAAGCTACACTAGTTTGTACCTCTGTTATTTCTTTCTTAATGCATAATAAATTGTTCCTTCTAAATGGCCACAATGAAAGATGCATGATTTTTAACCAACAAATAGCTATTGTCTTTCTACCAATGAAGTTAAACTAAAATAGGAAAAGTCCATATTGATTCGGATATTTTATTTAGAAAATCACTTTCCACATTTTATTGAAACATAAATTTTTGATGAAAAATAAAAAAAAACAAAGCATTTATTGAAAAAGAAGTAAGGTATGTTAAAGTTTGGTAGCTATTTTTTAAGAAGAAGAAAAAGAAAAACTAAAGAAGCATACCTGGAGTGGAGAAGATATCGTCTCTGTGTGATGTTCACAGACGCTTGAACAATTGTTTGAGAGGCAAAGATGCAAATAGGAGATACAGAGATAGACACGAGTTTCATATTTGGGGGTGGGCCTCTTCTATCAAAACGACACCGGTTTACTAGAAATAAGGTTTAAAAAATAATAAAACGAATCGTGCGATTCGTACAAATCTTGCGATTCAAGTGTGATTCTTGGCCAAAAAAGATATGAATCAAATGGGGATTAAATCGAATCAAATCACGAATTGTACAATTTTGATAACAATGGTATCGATCAATATCGTTTTACAACGCCGCGACCGATGTCTCAGTGGACTCCAAGTCGATAACCAATATTGCGATCTTGAACCAGGACATCAGTTAGCAATGGCTTTTAAGAAGTTTATTGTGGTGATCCAAAAGTCTGAAGACATTTTTGTCTGGTAACATATAGCAAACAACCACTTTCGAGTTTTAGTGGTGGCATATTGAATTCACTAAGGGATCAAAACTATGTTACCTAAATCGTGGGTCGCTTTGGTACGTGATACGGGTACGGGTATATGGTACGACACTTTTTTAAGTACGCGGTACGATTTGGTAAGTTTAGCTGATATGATATTTTGGGTCGCAATTCGTTTTAAAACTCCTATGTAGATTGTTTTCACTACTATACAACATTATATATTACAGAACATTCATAAACACTAAGTTACTATTTATCTTATATTTGTGCTTGATTTTTTATTATCTAAAATAATATATAATTATAAATTTATATACATATAGTCAATTAATATGTATTTTATATTTATGCTACATGTTCTAAAGCGAATTGATTTAGGGTTAGTGTTACAATAGGGTCGTTTATTTTGGTGATCTAGATTGTAAACTCACCTCGTTTGGGATCGATGTACCAGATCGCGGGTCGTCAAGGTTTTATTGAATTGTGGTTACCATGAATTAGAATATGTGCTAGTGTATTTAAAGTGAGATTATAATGATGCTTGGTCAGCCATACCTTAAGGAACCCAATATTATTGAACCATGTTGATGCTTTCGGAACAGATCTTTCTCCCATGGTGAAACTCATTTTCTTGTATTTGGAAGCAGATATTTGGCTTAATATAAATTACGTTGGATTGAGTTTTGGCACACTGTCCCAAAAAAAGATAATTGATGCTACACTACGTAATTGTAAATCCATGCTTAATAACAGGTATAGTCAAAGGAGCTGAATAGCTTCACTAATTGTGTGCACTACCCATGTTGAATGTAGCGAGTCTTGATATTATTGTGCTAGGATCGTTGAAATATTTCCAGTTATTAGTTCTGATATCCCGATGTATTTTATGTCACATAACTGGTTTTGTGCCCTATGAAAATAGGAAAGGATGTGGTAGGCTGATCGTTATNGGGGGGGCGCTTCCTTCTGGCCCTTGGTGGATAAAGGTCAAACCAGCATTAGCACTATAGTATTGATATTAACTTGGACACTAAACTTTTTTGTAGTTGGTATAAATCTTGAGAGGCCTTGTTTGTGGTCGACTTTTTTCCTTTTTTCATTCTTTTCTCAGATGGGTGTGAGTAGGAGGAGGTTGCCTAGGTTAAAAGGAATATGATCTGATGGACAGCATAACCTTTTCTCCTTTGTTTTCCAATTCATCTTTCCCAGTGATTAACTGCATAACATGTATTTTATCTGGAGTGCATGATTGACGCCATAATATTTATCTATGCAGAGAGTGTTCAAAAGCAAATATATTGTAATCCCCGGAATATACAATGTTTTTGGTTGTTCCTTTAGTAAGATGATCATGGTATGCTTTATGAAGCAATGATAGATTCAATTTATGGCTGGCCAAATATAATGGAACTGAGGATATGTGTAGGGTATCACCTACTAGTAGCGCTAGCATGAAATTAGCTAGTGATTGTAGTTTCTACAATTTTGTTTGGTACATTGCTGTGTTTTGTGTCCCATGTGATTATGATCCCACATAGGTGGAAAATATGCACTCATTTAGATACTGATATAATTGTTTTTTCAGAATTGGTCAGGAAACACTAATGGAAGAGAATTTGGCAGATGACGATATCGAAATCGAATTAGCACCTATAGCTGTCCAGTTGGCATATGTTCAGCAGGTAATATTACAGTAGTATTTTGTTTCCTTATTCTACAGTTTCAAGTTGCCATGAATGAAAATTTTCTTTATTTCCAGCTCCTTGGACGCACACAAGAAGCCATTGAATCCTTCACAGGCATTATCAAGCGAAATCTGGTGGATGAACCCTCCATTGCTGTGGCAATAAATAATCTTATCGCATTGAAAGGTCCCAAAGATGTCTCTGATAGCCTAAGGAAACTTGATCGGATAATGGAGAAAAGCAATGGACCACAGAGCTTCCAGTTTGCTCGTGGACTGGACTTGAAGCTTTCACCAAAACAAAGGGAAGCGATTTACATCAATCGGGTGCTGCTGTTACTTCACTCTAATAAAATGGATCAGGTCATATGCAGTTCTTTTCAGTTTTTATGATATCTCTGCTTTCCTTGCCTATAAAATATGGCAGACTAACCTGCATCCCCTTATGTGGTTTTTTGGCTCTCTTCAAATAGTTTTTTAATGAAATTACAGGCTCGAGAACTTGTTACTGTGTTGCCAGGCATGTTTCCTGACAATGTGATGCCAGGGCTGCTTCAAGCTGCCGTCTTTGTGAGAGAGAACAAGGTTGGAAAAGCTGAAGAAATACTGGGGCAGTTTGCAGAAAAGTTCCCTGACAAGTCCAAGGTGGTTCTCCTTGCAAGGGCACAGGTTGCTGCTGGTGGTGGTCATCTTCAAATTGCTGCCGAGTCTCTTGCAAAGATACCTGATATTCAACACATGCCTGCCACAGTTGCCACTCTTGTCTCTCTTAAAGAGCGGGCTGGAGACATTAATGGTGCCGATGCCATCTTTGATTCTGCAATCAAGTGGTGGTCGAATGCCATGACTGAAGACAATAAGCTGAATGTCATCATGCAAGAGGCTGCTTCTTTTAAACTCAAGCATGGGCGGAAGGAGGAGGCTTCCAGACTCTATGAGCAGCTTGTTAAAAGCCACGGAAGTATTGAGGCTTTGGTAGGGCTAATCCGGACAGCTGCTCTTACAGATGTTGAGAAAGCGGAACTTTATGCGAAACAACTTAAACCGTTGCCTGGTTTGAAGGCAGTTGATGTCGACAATTTGGAGAAAACTTCTGGCGCAAAGCATGTTGAAAATGGGCCTCAACTGGGCATCACTGAACCATATGAAACCAAGAGCAAAGAGAAAGCAAAGAAGAAGAGGAAGAGAAAGCCGAGGTATCCAAAAGGGTTTGACCCTGCAAACCCGGGTCCTCCGCCAGATCCAGAACGGTGGTTACCTAAGCGGGAGAGGTCTAGTTACAGGCCAAAACGAAAGGATAAGAGAGCAGCTCAGATTAGAGGTTCTCAAGGCGCAGTAGCTAAAGAGGCTGTCAATGTTGTGAATTCAAAATCGAACCAAACATCTAGCTCCAAAGGAGCATCACAGAATTCTGTTGCAGAGCAATCTAAGCCTTCTTCGTCTAAGTCATCAAGGAAGAAGTCCCGAAATTAGCTGTCATGTGCCCAAATCGATGTGACCTATTCAGCATCCAAGATGATCGACAGCTGAGGCTCTGAATTGTTTGTTAAGTGCACCAAGAGATAGTCCCATTGACATTTTTGGTCTGTAGTTTGTAGTTTTTCCTTCCAAGACTTTTAGGGTAATCTGAGTGTTTTTTATTGTTAAGCATGGTGATGAGCTTTGAATCAACTAACCCTGCCCCTTGTCAAGAAATTAAGGCATCAATTCATTGAGTCTTTCTTTTTGATCAATTTTTTTTGTTATTTTCCGGGGAATTAGTTTTGAGCCAAGTGGTGTGAGGGCGAAGAAAAGATCATCTAGTACATCCCATTTTGCATCCCCTCTAGCAGCGTTTTATATGTATTGAGATGGGTTAGTAACTTACTTCATTTTTTAATGGATTGTGGTATATTGTGGTGCTCGAGAGGTTAACCATGGTTTTTGAGGGATTAGAGATGCTTAGACCTGTGTGCTTAGATGGATATGGGGTGTACAAGACATTATTCTTGTTTTTTTCTTTCAGTGCTTGCTCGCTCTGATTGAATTCTTAATGTAGAGCTTGCACACGGAGCTTAGCTAGCGTGAATTCACCCAACACTGGAGGTGAATTGGAGAAGACCTGGTAGAATTGTCCACGGAAATCTTAGGATTTAATCCAATTAGGTTAGAGGGGTCTATACTAAAGTGGACTGCGCTTAAATTAGTGCAAGTCTTTTATACATATGTAGGAAATTGAGCGTATAAACATCGGTACAAGTCCACAACTACAAGACACTTGAGACATTAATATTCAGCCATTACTCTTTTACATCACCTTCGTCTCCCTCTCCAATCAATGTGTGACCAAGTATGTTTTTCTTCTGTGGGTGAGGATTTTGGTCTACATAGTGTTCCTTCACCGTGAGTATTTGTTCGTGATCAAGAAAAGCATTGGAGTACATGAAATACTCTAGAACTACTATCCTCATATTGTTTTCGATGAAAGATTTGACGAAGGTAAACACAAAGTCAATATTATTTTGGATGTGGTTTTCCCTCAAAAAAAAAAAAAATGTACGAGATCTTGACACTAAAGTTAAGCGTTATGGAACGGGAAAATGTTATTTGAACTTAATTTGAAATTCCAATTCAANCAAAAAAAAAAAAAACGTACGAGATCTTGACACTAAAGTTAAGTGTTATGGAACGGGAAAATGTTATTTGAACTTAATTTGAAATTCCAATTCAATGTAATCATTGGATTGTATTGAAAGTGGGTTCTAGCTAATATTAGAATTCATAATTAATTCAATTGNACGGGAAAATGTTATTTGAACTTAATTTGAAATTCCAATTCAATGTAATCATTGGATCGTATTGAAAGTGGGTTCTAGCTAATATTAGAATTCATAATTAATTCAATTACTACATTGAATTTAGTCCTCAAAAGTAGATCCTTAGAGTATCTCTAACAAGGTTTTGTATTTAAAAAATTCTACATAACTCAAATGAAACTCAAAAATTTAAATTCAAATGCATATCATCTCTTGGATAGTGTGGAATGAGTGGGCCCTGCTAAAAAAATTAATGAGATTTACTCATTTAAGGGATGTTATGCATTTTTGTTACAATTTTTTGGATTTCATTTAGGTTTTGTAGCATTGCTCTTTGTATTTTAGCTATTTAAAAGTACATTTTTTCTATGTTAGCCACTCATTTTTCAATACACACTCTAACAAATTTTTTAAATTTTAACTACTTTTTTCAAATATCATTTCTCATATTTTATACCTTTGCTGAAAATATTGGAGGGAGAGAGAGAAAGAATGGAGAGAAATATAAATAGTAGATAAGAGATATGGGAAAAGACAAGACGAGAAAGAATATATTATAAATTATTTATACATAATACTACAGTGATGCTCTAAATATAGAGTATCACTGTAGCAAAATTGTATTTTATTTAGAGGTGTTCAAATTTTTAATTACCTGCAATTTTTGACCCTATCCAACTCTAACTGACCCTATTTTACCTAGGGTTAGGGGAGATGTCCTTAGGTATTTATAGTACGAGAAAACAGTTTAATCGGAGCAGACCTGATACTCAAAATTGCGACAGTATGTTCTAACTAGAGAGGCTTGACGTTCGAACTATCTACAGGACGTTCGAACTATCTACAGGACATTCGAACATAATATTGGGCATTCGAACATTGTTTGCTCCCAATACTTTTGCTATTCCATCAGAGTTTTTGTCAAACACCAAAGTACTGGAACTAACTGTTGTTAGAACGGATTCCAGTTTTTACCTAAACTTACAAGGAACTTTTAGCCTAATTAGAGGTCGATTTAAGAAATTTTCGTGAAATACACTTTTGTAACCCTAGAAATCTAGTATCTACTGTAAACATTTCAGATCAAACGAACATGGGAGTAGAAAGTTGTGGTCCAAATGCTAAAGTAATGTCAAATTCCTTCCTACTTGGATTCTCTCTAAAATGCACTTAAATTCCAGAATACTTCTTAACTTCTAATACAACCCTTATTACCTCTGTCAAAGTTTTTATTTCTACTCTTACAATCTATATAGTCATTCTTAAGTCATTATATATATGAGCATTACAAAATAATTACATCACCAAATTAAGATAAACATGTCGGGGCTTACAATCCACCCCCTTTAAAAAAAGTTTTGTCATCGAAACTTACCTTGTGTAGAGAACAAATAAGGGTACTTCTCTCACATCTTCAACTCTGGCTCTCAGGTAGCTTCCTCCACCCCATGATGTTGCCACAAAATCTTCACCAATTGGATTACTTTATTGCGAAGCACCTTTTCCTTGGTATTGAGAATCTTCACCGATTGTTCTTCATAGGTTACTCTGTCTTGAATTTCAATTCCTTCAAAATCCACGACATATGTTGTATCATATTTGCACTTTCTTAACATTGATACTTGGAATATGTCGTGTACCCTTGACAACTAGGCTGGTAACCCAAGTTGATACGTCACTTTACCCACAACTTTGATTACTTCAAATGGTCCGATGTACCTTGGGGCTAACTTCCCCTTCTTGTCAAATCTGAACACTCCTTGTTTGGGTGGTACCTTGAAGAACACATAGTCTCCCTTCCAATGGTTTTCTTCTTCTATCTGCATAGTTTTTTTGTCTACTACACGTCATGTGTAATCTTTTCCTAATTAGTTGAATTTTCTCAATAGTCTCACAAACCATTTGTGGTCCAAACAAAGCTACTATCTCCAGCTTCTAACCAACAAGTTGGGGAGCTACTTGATCTTCCATACAATGCCTCGTAAGGAATCATTTCGATACTTGCCTAATAGTTGTTGTTATAGGCGAATTCCACCAATGGGAGATGTTCACTCCAATACCCTTGAGGTCAAGAACACATGCCCTCAACATATCTTTCACAATTTGGATTACCCTCTCTAATTGTCCGTCTATCTGAGAATGAAAGGTTGTACTGAAATGCAACTCTGTTCCCAATGCCTTTTGTAAGATCTGCCAAAATTTAGCCACAAAGCAACTATCTCAATCAAACATAATCAACAACAATACCCCATGCAACCTCACTATTTCTTAGATGTATAATTGACTCAAGGTTACCAAATTATTTGTGGTCTTAACAGGTATAAAGTGGGCAATCTTTGTCAATCTATCAACTACCACCCAAATCGCATTATGTCCCTTGAAACTTTTGGGTAACCCTGACACAAAATCCATAGTAACGTGGTCCCACTTCCACTCAGGAATCAATAAGGATTGTAATGATTCTCCTGGTCTTTGATATTCAATCTTTACCTGTTGTGACACTGCGCACGTTGCAATGTACTTAGCCATGTCTTGTTTCATTCTTTCCACCAATATTAATGATTCATGTCTCTATACATCTTAGTACTACCCGGATGTATGAAGAATTTAGAACGATGGATCTCCTCCAACACTTCTTCCCTTACTTAGTCATTGTTTGGTATACATAGTCTTCCACGAAACTATAACTCGTCATTATATACCAACAAGTTCTCAACAATCTCATCCTTCTCTAATCTACCCTGGATAGTTTCCAAATCTGTATCTAATCGTTGCCATTCTACAATCCTTTGTCGAAGAATTGGTTGAACTACAAGATTAAATAAGCATGGTTGATCCTTTTGTTTATCCAACAGTAGGTCAAATTCCTCCAAGGCCTCGATCATCTTCTACATATTAGCAGCAAGAATATTGATTTCACCCAAAGATTTTCTACTAAGTGTATCTGCCACTACATTAGCCTTCCCTAGATGGTAGTTGAGTGTAAAATCATAATCTTCTAGGTATTCAATCCACTTTCTTTGCTGAAGATTCAAGTCTTTCTGTGAGACTCTTGTGATCAGAAAACACTTGAAACTTTTCTCCATATAGGTAACATCTTCACAATTTAAGAGCAAAAACCACAGCAGCAAGCTCCAAATCGTGAGTAAGATAATTCTACTCATAAATGTTTAACTGTCTCGAGGCATAAGGAACTACCTTACCTCCCTGCATTAGCACACATCCCAAACCTCGTAAAGAAGTATCCGTGTAAATATTGTATCCTTTACCACTGCTCGGAAGAATAAGGATAGGTGTTGTTGTCAACCTTTCCTTTAATGTGAGAATAGCTAGTTCACATTCTTGAGTCTAAGCGAATTTTTTCCCTTTCTTCGTAAGACGTGTCATTGGCCTAGCCAGCTTTGAAAACCCTTCCACGAACCTCCTGTAATAGCCTACTAAGCCAAGGAAACTAGGTATTTCTGTCACATTCCTCAGTGGTTCCCACTTCACACTACTTCAACTTTGCGGGATCAATAACTACACCCTGTTCCGACACAACATGGAAAATGAATTTCATTTCCTTCATCTAGAACTCTCTTTCACTCATCTTAGCATATAACTTATGCTCTTTCGATGTTTGTTGCACTACCCGAATATGGTGTTCATGTTCCCCTTGTGTCCATGAATAGATCAATGTCATCAATAAACACAATAACTAACTGATCTAAATACAGTTAAAATACTATGTGCATCAAATCCATAAATGTTGCAGGAGCATTAGTTAATTTGAATGGCATTACAGTATATTCGAAATGACCATACCTTGTTCGAAAAGTTGTCTTAGGAATATCCTCCTCCTTGATCCTCAGTTGATGGTACATTGTGCAAAGATCAATCTTGGAGTAATATTTAGAATCCCTCAACTGATCAAATAAGTCATCAATATGAGGTAATGGGCATTTATTATTCACTGTCACTCGGTTCAACCTCCAATAGTCTGTGCATAACCAAAGTGTTACATCATGCTTGTTCACAAAGAGGACTGGGGCTCCCCAAGGGTAACTGCTTTAGCGAACAA